GGATCAGTGAAGCATTACCATAGTGTTGAAATTTACATTCTGTAATGACATGGAAGAATTAGCCCTATAAAGTGGAAAGGATGGCAAAATATTCTCTTGTTCTAACACTTTTGCACAGTACTGTATAAGAAGATATAAATTAAGCAAAATTTTTTGTGACCAAACCTAGTCTTATTGGTACAAAATTTAATTTCTGCAGTTCAAAAGTGTGATAAGATGAACAATTAATATTAGTACAGTTTATTCTTTGTTTTTGTTTTAAATATTAAATTCTGGGGAAAAAGTTACACTTCATACTTTATACATTTTGAATATTAATATGTGTTTTGATCAAGTACACTTTCAGTGATCTGCAACTATTATCATACTTATAGATAATGCAAGTTTGTATGAAAAAGAAAAAATTTATGAATTTATTAATCAGTTATGAGGTACTTTTTTCTATTGAAATTAGAAGGTAGTGGTCTTACACCATTAGGTTTATTTATTGATAATCAATGTTGTATACTTTTTTATACATTTTAAAAATATTTTTGTATATTATTTCACTGTAAGGTTGAATGAACATATCTGTTTTATTGCAACTGCTAATCACAGCTTTCTATTTGAGTTTTTAAATTTCTAGTAAACTGTAATTCTTAGGTTCCTCTGCTACTGTTAGGTTCACTTCCTTAGCACTTCTGAACAACTAGATTTTTACTCGTGGAGAAATACTTGATTTACTTATTTCTCTGTGAAACTGTTTGAAACCACATAGCCACCAAAGAAAAGTATTTATACATTTTTCCTTATTCAATTATTATTAGCGAAATTTCCAGATTCTTCTTTAGAATTTTATCTTTATTTGATATTGCTCTTTTTTTCATCCTCAGTTCTACTTACATCCAACTGTAATTAGATTATTCCTTTTTTTAGTCTTATTAAACTGTTATTCAAGTTAACTTGCTTGCCCAAGAGAAAGAGGAGTTTTTTCCTCATCAGACCTGGTAGACTTATTTTCTTACTTCCTCATCAATCATTGCAGGCTTAGTTTCTTGCTTCCTCGTAAATCACTGTAGACTTAGTTTCTGAGCCTCAGTTATTTTTTTGTTTTTTATCTAATGCTTCTCTCTCGTAGTTTATTTATTTTTTAAATGTGTTTTTATGCTCAACTATGTATTTTTCAAGCTTTTTTGGCTTGATAAATATTTGATATTTTGTTACCAACTTGTTTGGCCCTGTGGTGGAGTTCTGAGGAGCTGGGCTAAAATTCGATTCATACCACAATATATTTCCTGCACTTTATGCTGTAGGAGTGCTATTATAAACCTAACGGTATTCCTTAGAGTGGGTAGTAGGGTGCTACTGACTGGCTGTCTTCCCTTTGTTCAGTAGCTCAAAATTAGGGACAGTGGCAGATATATTGCTTTAGTAGAATTGCCATAAATACAGATATTTAAAATAATAAAAAAAACTATTAACTTATAACAATAGTACAAGTTATATTTTTGAACAAAATGCAATATTGTTTTTTAAGTAATGAATTTATGGTTTAAAATATGCCATCAATAAAAAAATTATGCTTAGCAATTTGTAAATTAAAATGTGCTTACATTAATAATGAACTGATGAAATCATTAATTGCCTCTTTCAACAAGTAATAACTGCCAGTAGTTTGTTTTCAAATAAAATCATAATTCAACAGTCAGTGAGGATTCCATTTCATACTAAACATTAGACATGTAACATCTTTCAATCTTTTAGTGTAGAAGGGGTTTTTCTTCCAGATTGGATTTGAAGATGTACATTTTATTATTGAAAGACAGACATGCCTTTTGTAAAAATCTTGTATTTTTATTTTACTTCCATTTTTCAGTATTTTCAGTATATGTTTG